TAATTGGGCAGTTGGCTCCAGTTTCAAAATGACTGTTTGAGATTTGAGGACCTTGAAATGAACTATGTAATATGCAAATGTTTTCTATATATGAAGGGAAACTATGAGTCTAGAGCACAATTTAATTTTCATAGGCTCGGAAATGCCTTGCTTTTGTTACTTTGATATCCATGAATAGGAAGCTGTAACATGTAGTAATGAAATCATCCTTTATCACATGGCATCTGTTAAATCTTTTCATGAGTGTTCTTGTGTGATCTATGTGTACCATTGCTCTGGAATAGGAGGATTCTTCAATAAGCTGGTTTTGGAAGGAACTTTCTAGATGAATGTGATTATCTTCATTTCATACAAAGATAACTACTTAGATTTTATCAGCAAAGGAGAATTTTATTCAATTAAGAGAACCAGTTAAAGAATTGCAGCAAATAGAAAGCAGACATTGAACCACGAAGTGTTACAATAAAGCCTAAAAAAGCTGCTTTCTATGAACTCCCTGTTTGACTAATGAATCAGCCATCCCATTTGCCCTTTGCTAGACTCTCAATCTCCATTAGGAGATGTCTATAAATCCAAGGAGCATTACCCCTTGAATTAGTCCATGATATCACTATTTTTGAGTCCCCTTCTACCTCCAAGTTCTTAAGATTTGCTTGCTTGGCAAGTTTTAACCCCATAGCAGAGCTAACAATTCAGCCTTTAAAGAATCACCTTCCCGTAAATGTCCTGAATACATAGCCACTAGTTTGCTTGAGGAATCTCTAGTCACACCACCAATGCCTACCAATCCTGGTTTCCTATAGAGTTCCTATCAAAATTCAGCTTGAATTTGTTGAGACTTGGGGACTTTCACTCCATCACCTTTCTTTCTTTCTTTCTTCCTTCTCAGAAGAGTGTGCCACTTCATTCCACGCTCTTACTATATCAATAATCGAGATACTTTGAAAGAGCTCAAGTGTTTTCACCCAATATGCAACTTTTATCTTAGTGGCCTCCACTAGATCTTCATTTGACTGTACTTCTCGTTGAAAATTATTATATTTTTTTGATAAATGTTGAAAATTATTATATTTCTTTCCTCCCATACAGTCCATACCACTGCTACCCTAACTGATTTCCACACAACTCTTTCTCCTTTTGTTGGTTGCTTTAGAAAGTTTGTGTTGAAGAGGATTACAACATCCTAGGGAGTACTCCACCTGCAACCAAAGAGAGAACAAAAAGACTCCCAAAAAAGAGAATATAAGGGCAATGGATCAGTAAATGGGGTGGGGACTCGCCATCTGCAGAGCAAAGAATGCACATATGAGGGGAGAGGCATTTATTTGACCTCCTTTTTTTGAAGCATGTCATAGGTGTTCACCTTCCCAAGATTATTATATATTTATATCTTTTTCTACCTCTACCAGATAAACCCTTTTTATGGAAGTGGCAATCCACCTCCAAATGGCACTGTAAATTCATCTATATTGATAAATTTCTGAGGTACAGATGGATTTTAAGCCTAGTCAATACACTGAATAAGTAGGGACTTGGGTCAAGAAACTTCTTCTTGCGTTATTCTCTTGGAAGAGTTGGATGTGTATCTAAGTTACCAGTCAAGGAGTGTTGTATGAGTGGTCTCCTGAGGTAATGAGCAAGATGTTAAATTTCTATCTTGATGCACATGATGACCTCTCTAAAACTGATTTTTTTTCCAAGGATTTTGGAAAGAATATGAGAATAGACTGTTAATTTGATAAATATCAATCCAAAACTGATTGAGCTGCTTTGAGGGAGCTCTGCCAACTGAATACAAGAGGAAGGAGAGAAAGGAAATGGGAAAAGGGGGATTTTTTTTATCCATAACCAACTCTGCAGGCCTTGTATAGCTTTGGCCTTATTACATATTCATGCACATGGCACCTCACTCTACGCTAGTGCTCTTTTCGTGGCTTCCTGATGTAGACAAACCAAATGGATGGCTTGATGGGCTGAGTCAATGCTCCTTGGGTCTCCTGGGCATGAGGATGTTGACTAGTCTGGCTCCTATTGTAATTCCTGAAATTTTTATTTTCTTGTTCTTTTCTCTATTATTTCCTATACCTTTTCCCCCCTAATACTTGTCTAACCTTCCTATTTACATGGTCTCTATTTCTCCTGTCTTTTTAATAGTCATTGTAGGAGTTGTTTATTGTATTTCATACAATATTATGCAATTTATGCTGTGAACAGTACATCATTCTTACATTTGTACAGATGATGTTCTTTAAGAGAGGAAAGAGCAATATATTCAGTTTTAAAGAGCTTAGATCAGATTCTTTCAAATAAAATTAGTTTAGACTTTAGACAGGCTACTGTAAACCTCATAATTAATAACATGTATTGCATTTGTGTACTGATAAAATAAATGCATAATGCATTTGCAATTAAGTTTAATTTGCTTGTGTGGTCCTTGCTGGTCTCATGTCATTTGCTTCCTGGATGGGAGTCCACAACTCACTTATTCTTTCACTATGCTTTTAGTAGACAATAGACTGCTTTGGCAGTTCCCTTACAATGTGTGGCTCCAGTTAAAAATACAGGTACTGTCACTGGAGAGAATACAAACTTGAAGGGGGTTTTTTTATTGGATAGCTATTCTTCATGACATTATGTGGAGTGTGGGGAAAGAAAGAGACAGAGAGGAAGATGTAGAATCTTCCTTTGAGGTTACTTAACCAAAAAAAGGAAGGATAAAAGAAAAATCTTCCTTTGAGGTTCTAAGAGGTTTAGTGCTACTTCTTCTGACTCCCTGGGGCTAGCAATCAGCATCTTCAGAGGAATTTCAGCTGCTGACAGGAGAAGGAACCCATTAACAAAATCTTCCACTCTGCTCATGGAGGAGCACTTGGAAGAATGTCTATCCCTCCTCCTGATGAATCCTCAAAATGGAACTTGATGTCGGCAGGCTTAGTGGTGGCTGTTTTAGAGAAGATGGTGGGGTGTTTTAGGGCTTTCAGCATCCCAATTAAAGTTCCAGGCTCCACAAGGGTGTTAGTGAAAACACTGTTAACAGGCATCTGGAATTTTTTAGCAATCTTATCTCTCCCCTTTGGCTATTTAGGGTGATTGAGAATGCCATCCAATAATCCAGTAGTGTCAAAGAGTAGGCAAGGCCTGTGACAACTAGCACATCTGCTAAATTAGATTCTGGGAACCCTGAAGGGTTGAGCACTAGACTCAATAGATTCCTAGGGAGATGAACAGCATAAGGTGGGCTTCCTAATTTGGGAATTTGGAAGACTTGTTATAACCACAGCTCCATTCCAATGTAACATTTGCATTTGGTGGAGCCGGTTTTTCATATTCCAGGTATTATATATTTTCTCATGTGCTCTGGTCTTTGAGATATACGTATGCACTCAAATGATTGGGAACAAGGAACAACACAGCTTTTCTGAAAAGCCCATAGAAAGCTATTAAAACTTTTTACATTTTGTTACACAACATACTGAATATAACTTTGTCAATTAAATTAAGTATTTTTTTATGAATGTCAGTTAGATTAAATATTAACCTTTGATTGGGGAATCAATCTTTATATTCCAGATTTCCGTGGTTGCACTCAATATCATGTTACAAAAATCATTTCATTTCTTCATTTCTTTCATTCAGTCTGGTCTATCCTAGGATTTTGGCTTTAGATCCACATATTCTTGTTATGTTCTTGATCTGCAAACATTTGGAAACATTTTCTTCCCCTATTTGGCACTCTGAAATCCCCACATGAAATAATAGACATGTGTTTGCCACACTTCCTCCCCCTTCAACTAAGAGAAAAATTCTATGAAGAAAGCTCAAGAGCTGTCGTTCTTTGGAGTGTATGTGACAAGAAAACTAAAAGGGGCAAGATGGAAACATTCTTATTGACTTGGTCACTGCTAGAGTGGTGTATTGAGTGCTTACAAGAAAGGAGTTTAAAGAGGTCCAGTGGATACAGTGATGCACTTGTTAAAGGGTAGCAATACCTGAGTAGCTATACCTCCCCAGGCATTGACAGCCCAAGAATGGGAAGATCTGGAAAATGGATACATAAAAGTCAACTTGATATTCTATTGGCAATCCAAGTAAATCGGGTATAGATGGATGGTGGTAATTTAATTCTGATATACTCAGGGCAACTTGGTGAAAGATATACAATTTAGGCTGAAAATGTCTATTCTTCGTGGAGGGAGGTCTTCAATTTCATATGCAATAATAAATTTGGTTTTCCTTTTTATTTTATGATGTACTATTTGTTTGTTAGAATTGCTAAAAGTGATATCAATCCTAAATTCAATAGCTGTAGCTTGGGTCATTCTACAAGATTGGGAAATTCCTACTCTAATTTACTTAGGGCTCCATTGAGACAACCAGGTACGAATAAAATGTATTTGGTAATTGTTTTCATTTGTTTGATGTTGTTAATTGCCCTCTCCTAGCAGCTACTCCAATGGTTGTCCTCCCACATGAGATCTTATATGACAGGATAGAGAAGAATCTAGTTGTAATCCTTCTCATCTTCTAAATTCAGAAAAATTATTTTGCATCAAGTCATTATGAGTGTCACTGTCACAAGTATACCGCACATAATGGTTAAGACCTATTCAAAACAGTAATCCATGTAAACCTTTGATCCATGAATGAGTAGTAAAAGATTCTTACATATTATGTCAGTTGAATCAGTGGCCAAGACTGCCCCACGTGTGATGGTTGCTAGTTTGTTACCTATAGATAATACATTCATGCATGATGTGTTTCTTTAATGAAAGTGGAGTTGTTTATCATCCCCAGTACCTGCAATTATCTTCCTACTGAAACTGCGGAGTTAAATTTGGTTGCGGGTTCTGGTGAATGGTGGCAGTGTTCAAGGCATTCTTCCTGTCAAAGCTGTTTCATGTATAAAGTGCTGCTACATGAATTGTAGTTACCTTTTCCAATTACTTATATTTAGTTCAGAGTTGCACCTGACATTGTTTGTTCTCACTACAATTCTGCAGGAAGAGATAGAAGAGCTTGAGAAAACAGAGAAGGTTTCAGCTGCATGCCAGGAGTATGTATGAGTAGATCGTTGGTGCCAAAATATGATTTCATTTGCCATGTGACGTTGAAATTGATTTTTATAGTTAATTCATTCTAGGGGACTGAATTTCATTTGGTTTCCACCAGATTGATGCTAAAAATTGAAACAAGATCGGATCCACTACTTCCAGTGTAACCAACTTTCCTTGAATACTTGTTCCTGCATTTTTAGAAGCTTTGTATTATCTTCTTCAATAACCTTTGCACTCTTGTGGTTTGGCAGAACAAATGGCCTCACCAACCCATCCTGGAATAGATGGTTCGAAGGCCCACAAGATTCAAATGGCTGCAGGTGCTGGATGTTGTAATGATGGCTGTGAATCATCTGGAGATGCCCTTTGGTTGTCAATTGTTTCCAAGGCTTAAAAGTTATTTCCATGTCACAAACACCTGTCAATCTGTTATTTTTGACAATTGACAAATCAAAGATGAAATATTCGATTGTACACAATATAACTTTTTAGGCAAATGGATAACATAATTTTATCTTTGGGAATTCAAACACGGATGAATGATTGTACACAAATGGGGAAGCTTTTCTTTTCGCTCTTCAAAACAAAACATCCATGAAAGTACATCATGTTGATCCTTGCCTTGCCGATCCAAAAAGAAAAGCATCCCACTTCTTCTCAAGTTGTGGGCTTCCCAGTCACACGCTGGGCTATCCATCCCAAGCCGTCATACAATCCTTCTCCTGTGAGAGCACAACATGCTTGGATGTGCCAGTCATGATTCTTGATGCTGTGAAGTGAAAGTGCATCTGTTATCTCTGCTGGGGACATAGCATCCTTGAGATCCTGCTTGTTTGCAAATACGAGAACGACAGAATGCTCAAGGTCTTCGTGTTGGAGCAACCTGAACAACTCGTCCTTCATTATGTTAATCCTTGCCCTATCAGTGCTGTCTATCACCACAATGACGGCATGGGTGCCACGGTAATATGTCGCCCATGATGTTCTTAGTCGCTCTTGTCCTCCAAGATCCCAGACCTGCATCATGAATTAATTAGTGGAGGGCCGGGGGCATATAGAACTACAAACCTTACAATTACAAACCTCTAACTATTTGTAACAGGGGCTAAAATCATGCTGTCTCAACTGGTTGGTAAGGTACTAAGGTCTCCTGCTGGTTGTAGCGGAGACCTGGGATCGAATCTTGCCTGCACCTGGATTAGGGGGGTTATGGGTTGGGGGATGGGCTACCCCCCCGTTGTGTAGCCCTTCAGAAGATATCAAAAAAGATTAAAAATATCCGGCTGCCTCAACTCTCTAGGGATAAAATACATCAGAGATACAGCCAACCATATTAAGTATTTAAGGATGCCAAATGAGGTACAAAACTAAAAATCTGAGAGAATGAGGCATTATCTAATCAATTCTTTGACAGAACCCTCCATAATTTATCAATTACGCCCCACCCCCAAAGCAAAAATAAAGGAAAGAAATATTATATCTATATCCCATGTATGAGAGTGATTCCATGCAATTATGGGCTCAACATTTTCAATTGAAATTGCAAGCCGTCATGGTCCATGACACATTTCAGACAATTAGACTAAATAACATCAGCAAAGCCTCCTCCATACAGCCATGGTCTCAACAAGAAAACTGCTGCCACAAATTAAGCTTTGGGGGAATGTTAACCAAGCAACCAAGTATTGGTTGCATAAATTTCTATAACTCTTAATATTATACAAGTGGTGACAAGCCTTGTGTTACCTGCTAGAAAGGTTGAACTCAGAAGTTGTGTTATGGTCCCGCGCATAGGATCCCGTCACGGGCCGGTCCATGGTGCGAAAGCCCTGCTTCCCCTTGTGCTTTCCCTTGCGTGCAGACCCTATTGCGAAAACTGAATGGGTGATTTGTCCAAGAGACCACCCGAACTCTCCCTTGGGGTGATTTGTCCAAGAGACCACCCGAACTCTCCTCACTATTTTCTTGGCTGGAAAACTGAATGTCCTTTATTTCAAT